TTGCGGGGGTCCCTGTCCTCACTGCAGGCATGGCTGTCACTGCCGGCCCCCGGGGTGCCCTGCCCCAAAGCAAACGGCCGGCACCGTGCTGGGCCCACACGTGTCGGATCACGGATCCTCTTCCGCAGGCTCACTGGCTCACTGCCCGGAGGGACTGAAGGAGCTGATGGGGGAAGGAGCCTGTGAGCACACACTTAACCAATAAGCCAGTCAACCCGTGTTACTCATCATCTGTCCAGCTCAGGAACATATTCCCAAAGGGTGGAGGCAAGACACCGCAATCGCTGACCCCAGGGCCACAAAAACAATCGGCGGGCTGGAGCACCTCCCCGATGAGGACAGGCTGAGAGTTGGGGTTGCTCAGCCTGGAAAAGAGAATGTTCTGGGGAGACCTTATAGCAGCCTTCCAGCATTAAAGGGGGCTTATTAGATGGGAATAGACTTTTTAGCAGGGCCTGTTGCAATAGGACAAGGCATAATGGTTTTAAAGTAAAAGAGGGGAGATTCAGGCAGGATCTAAGGAAGAAATTTCTCACACTGAGGGTGGTGAAACCCTGGCACAGGCTGCCCAGAGAGGTGGTGGTGGAGGCCCCATCCCTGGGGACATTCAAGGTCAGACTTGATGGGGCTCTGAGTGACCTGATCAAGATGTCCCTGCTCACTGCAGGGGTGATGGACTAGATGACCTTGAAAGGCTCAGACTCTTTTGTGACTTTCTTCAGCCCCAAATGATCCTTTTTGGTGGTCCCATAAGCAAGCACATGACAGGGGAGGTGTATGTCCATGGGGACACATTAGCTTTGCCAGAGAGCAAGGAGGGGATGCTGAGTCCAGGGCTTGGACAAGAGGGGAAGAAAGAACAAAAGAACATTCCCAGGATATTGCCAGTCATCTTTGGTGAGGGTCAGTCAAGAAAGGCTCACCTACATCCTGCTAACCATTATGAGGCTCATGCTCCTTAATTGGTATGGCACATTCTCAAGAGGAAATGCTGGTCCAGGGCTCAGACAGCCCCAAAGGAATCACGGGAAAGTGCCTTCAGAGAAAGTGCTTCTGTGGTGCAGTAGGAATGACCCAATGCTCATCCCTCCTGAAAGCCTTGGACCACCAACTGACCATGAGAATACCTGGGAGCCTCGTTGAAGATGGCATGTTCCGGTCCCAGCCACGCTGCCCCAGCACTCACTGCTTTCTTTTCCGGGTAGCTGGGCACAGTTACAAGCTACGAAGACCAAAGCCAATGGTGTTCACCTGGGTGAAGGTGGGATGGGTGTGCTGCTGTTGCTTGATCTGCTCCCACCTGCTCTTCCCACTGTGTCCCTCCACGAACTCAACCCGGCCATGGGGAATGAGAGCAGGTGAGAAAATGGGAATGGACTGACTTTGCAAATAAAAGCAGTGGAGAGCAAAGCATGGAGCAAAGAAAGGCTGGTAGCAGTGGAGAAAGAAGGGAGAAGGCAGGGGGAAAGGACATAGAATAAATCTTTGTTTTGCCTCAACTCGGCAGCCCACAGAGTGATTTCTCCTGGTGGGCTCCTGCGCAGTCTGGGACACAGGCTGTAGGAAAGCTCAGGAGCAGCTCAAGGGTGTCTGACACTGAATCAGGGCTTGGTCTACCAGCCTCACCCAGACCTCACTGCTGTCACCACTCCCTGCCCTTCACCAAGAGCACCCAGAGCTGCAGGGCCATGCACTACGTGCCTCGCCAGGACATGGCACCGCGGCAGCAAAGGCTTTCCCATCAAGCCTGCTGCACAGTTTATGCTGCTGTGCTCAGCGTGGCACCATCAGGGGCTTAGAAACAGTCTCTACCACACAAATCCAGCGGCAATTTCTTCTGTCCCTTCTGTCAGAGCTGTGAACGAATCTTTTCACTGGGTTCCTGACGCTCCCCTTTTGCTTTGGCTGCCACCCCCCTTCCCCATCGGAAAGGGGCTGACTGCGTGGAGATTCAGTCCTACACTTCCACCTCCATCGGGTTTATCCTCAGGTACACTTGAAGCAGGCACTGGCAGCACAAACCTCTGTGCACACAGCACATTCCAACCCCTCTCCCTGCTGGGCCCCGGGACACCCAGTCCCCATCATTAACATCAAAAAACCACACACCAGCCTTCAAAATCAGAACAGCTCTGACCTTATTTGCGCCGGATCCTCTGAAGCCAATTGCAAAAGAGAAGCAAACAGTGAGGAGTTCATGAAAGCAATTCCCCAGCCACGTGCTGGCCTTGCCTGGAGAGAAGGTCCCTACCAGGTTACCCCCAGAAGACTTTAGCACGTGGACAGCTGACAGGGAGAGGAGGGATCCCCAAACCCTTCTCTGGGGAAACAGCTTGTGTGAAACAATTTACTCTGTGAGGTCTTGCGTCGACTGGATATGGAAGGGGCTAAAGCCATCCAGCAGACCAAAGAACCCAAGAGAGCACCCTCCTCCTACCAAGGGAGCCATGAATTGTTTGGATTCCGTTTCCATCCTTGGCAAGGACTCCTTGGAAGGACCTTCTCAACCTCAGCTTCCCCACCTGTTCTGTTTGCCTCTCTGCGAGGCTGTGGAGCTCGAGGGACGTATGTAAAGGCCTCCAAGGCTGCTTATATAAAAGAGAAAGAGCAACACATTGGCTTGTGCTGCAGCAATGCCTTCATGGTTGTGTTTTCAGAGAGGCATCTAAACAGGATCTGCTAATGATGCAGCTGGACAAAAAACTAAAAGCAACAAAATAAGACCACATTTGGGCACCCAATTCTTTGTTTCTGTTTTCCAAAATGAATAGAGAATGGATGAGCATGGATTCTGGAGTTGTCTGCTACTGTGTAGCTGAAGCAAATCTGATGTGAAAAGATCTCACTCTGCATCAATGGGGGGGTCTTTCCTTCAGGAACAGGGCGAAAACAGTCATACCTTCCACTGAAGGGTGATTAGTTAGGTTCTAACCAGCTACTAAGTGCCTGTGGGGAACAAGGAGAAGATCCCACTTACTGTCTCCTAATGACCTCTCAGCACTTTTCTAACTGGGATCACTCCACATTTCCCTCTGCCTCTCTCAGGGGAGTCTGCAGGACTGAAGCTTTAACCCGGTCAGCAATTCAGTGTATCACAGGCCTCAGCTGAAAAAAAATGTTTATAGAGCTATTTCTGAAACAGTGCATCAGCCTTAGAGCTCCCAGGACAAGCCCTGCTTTCGACGGGGACAGGAAGGTCAGTGGTAAACAGGGACTGTGCGATGTGACCAGCAGCATTCCCAGCTTTTATCAGTCACACCGGAACAGCTGCAACTGGACTCAAACTGACAGTAATTAATCTAAATTTTAATTATGCTGCCTCATATAATCTCATACCAAACATTACTAAATTAACCAAGTTGCTGCTCTTTGACTGCCCATTGTGGAGCAGGTGCAGTAATTTCTCCCAATCCCCATATTCCAGAACCCACAATCTCCCAGGGCTTTGCCAACACTGCTCCTCCCAGCCGGGGCGCAGGGGTGCTCCGGTCCCACCCAGCTTTGAGACCGACAAGTCAGTGAGGGGCTGAGACATCCAAAACAGAGACTGTGGGAACGAGGTCAGGAGAGAACCTACGCCTAAGGGCTGAGATACCTGCAGACAGAGGAATAATGGTACAACGCGCTGGGACGGATGAAGATGTGATGACTTGGAATGTCGTCCTGCCTGGGTAAATAAACATGAAAGGACACTGCCCCTGTTGACTTCCACACTGAGAGGCCTCCAGCCTTTTCCCAGACATCTGTTCCCTAACGCTGAGGATAAGGAGACTATTTTTAATTTTACCAAGGAGCAAGTGCAGCACAGGGAGGCAGAATGATTTCACCCCAGTCACAGGCAGCTCCCCAGCAGGGCAGGAGGGGACTCCCTGATGGCCCATCACAGCCCTTCCACCGCCTGCTTCAGCACCGACACCTCGCCGAGCACCTGAAACCCCCCTGACCGAGAGGCCAACACAGCCCTTGGCCGAGGGTTTAAATGGAGCGTCCAAATGGATGCAGGCTCAGACAGCACTCTGGGGCTGGGTGCATCCACAGCCCACGTAGGGTGAGGACCACCAGTGACTGCTGCCTATAGACCTCGTCCAGCAGAAAGCCACCCAGGTCTGCCCAAGGAATGTGATCCTTTGGGTACAGAACATTTCTGAGCTTGGGCCAGCTGCCGGAGGGCCCCTTGCAGGACTTCGGTTAGACCAGACAGGATTGCCACATCCATGGCCCACCCAGTCCTTCGTCCCTCTAACGCTGCGGGGGTGAATCAGGGGACTCAGAGATTTCGGGATGTGGATCCAGTCCCTTGGATCCTATCATACACAGGTCTCCAAAAAACAATTGCTCATGGACTGTTACTACTGAAAGGGACCAAGTCAAAGCCAGTGATCCAGCAAAAAGAAGCTCCAACTCCTTCCTCATTATTGAGACGGTCCTTAGCCAAAACATAACCATGACTCATCCCCTACCAAGACAGAGGTAGAGAGTCACACTGAAACAGAAAATTCCTAAATACCTCTTTTTTCGGCCAGCTCTTAAAAACAGCACAGATCTCAAACCCTTCAACAGCACCAACTACTATCTCACAATTTCCTTTGCAATTCGCTTGTGAAGACCCCAAATAAGTCAAGGCTTCAAATAAGGTCAGTTTTTGTTTGAGTAGTTGTGTTACCTCTGTTCTCACAGGTGCATCACCCAAATGAAAGACTAACTTATTTAGCAATAACCTAGTGCTCAGGAATTCTCATTTGCTTAGCTACAGTTAAACAGCAGCACCTCCATGGTTTATGCATCCACGGAGTTTGCAGATATGGGAATGAACCATGGAGCATTTCTTAGAGAGTCCACTGGCACAGGAGAGTGGTTGAAAAAACAAACATGTGGATAAGTCATGAAATAAAGGCAAAAAAGGACAGGGCACAAGGAATCTAGGAGAGAGAGCAGCCGAGCAAGCGTCAGCTCTGAGACACAGCAGGCAATAGGGAGCTAGAAAAGAAACAGCAATATACCCAAAGCTCTCAGTGCGACAGCGAACTCCAGAGGTGACATCAGGAGGGGGCAGATCAGGGATGGAGTCCATCTGGAGGAAATAAGAGGAGGTGGTGTGATGGTAACAGATGGGGTGGACATGGCAAGCAGGAGCAGATGCAGTGGTGGTGGATGAGGAGCAAGAGGTGGAAGATGTGGTGGTGGCAGCCGACGATGGGCTGGTGCCAGGAAGGTCAGAACTGAAAGACTGTCCGGAGGAGAGGCTGTGCATTCGACGGAGAGAGACTCTGCCTGCCCGGTAATGAGCAGGTTGGCCTGACTCATTCTGGCCTTGCACGTAACTCTCTACCAACCTCTGAGATCCATGGCCGTGCTGTGGGTCCACCAGGCGCTGGCGAACGGTGCTGGGCAAGGCAGGAGCTGAAACGAGAGAGAGAGGAGAGCACTGAAGGCTGCGTGTCACATCAGTGAGGAGGCACCACGAGAGCTACCGGCCAGTGCCGAGGCCGGGGCTACGCACGGTGCGTTCTGCTGCGGGGACAGTATGCGGGGACAGTGCGCGGGCACCGCGGCCAGCCCACCCTGCGCTGGGGGTTACACTGCTTTAACAAAGAAGAAGCATTAAGCTTGCGCTACAGCTTAACATGCTAGATTAATGCCCAGCCCATGAAAAAATGCAGGTTTGACACTCCTGATATAGGTGCTTTCTGAACACCTTATCTGATCATCTTCCTTGAAGCAGAAACCGGCTGCATGATTCATTCTAACGAACTTTACATCAGAGCTACCACCCAGGTTCCCTTCAGCGTAAACGTGAAGAAGTCGTTACTTTCAGGGCATGATTCATTTTGTCTTAACACAGACATCCAAGCCACTCGGACACTTCATGCCTTGGC